TGAATGGATTATTCAAATATTCCTTTCTCTCAAAAACACGATTACTATTTTCTGCGCTCGTTGCTCTGTATCTCCGAAACTGCTGATCCTGCCTTTGCGAGAAACTAATCAGCACATCTCTCTATCAATAGGAATCGAATTCTATTTCAACTATTCATATCGGTTGATCCGTGCCCGTGCCCGAAAACGTGGACAAAAAATTGTATCCATACATACATGCACACATCCATTTTGTATAAGGTATGCTTAAATGTTCAGAAATCTACAAAACGTTAAGATATGAAATAATTTTCAATTTCGATTTTTGGACGATTACAATAACTTACCCTACGGGACGTTAAAAATACCACAATTAGAGAAGAACAACCCTTGGGTTGCCTTATTACAAAACCAGAATTGGAGAATCATTGTGTTGCCTTCTTATGAACACAGCTTATGGAATATCAAAATTGCTGTTCGAAGACAAAAAAAATAGTTCAAATTACCGGAAATAATATTACTTATCTCACGAAGTGAACCGTGCATCTTCAAGTGCTCAAATTTGAAGCCAGTCTTATTAGTTTTAATTTTATAACAATGATATCAAACAAATTACTAAACTATATAGGATGTTTTTAGTTTATTCTTGAATTATAAATTCGATTGACGTCTATACTTGGCAATGTTGCATGCCTGTCTATCCAAATTCCAAAGTTTTTGATTCGTGATCGCATCCATATCCATAAACGATAAGTTTGTTTTTTGTCCATGATATAGCACGTGTGTTCTATGAACGTTCGGATGTCTATATAATAATATAAAGTCATGGCCCTGGTCAATTCATTATATTGTATAATTTATTATTTCTTTGCTTAGATAATATATCATGCGATAAAAACTTATCAAATTCGTAGGTTATTATCGTGAATTGTTTTGGAAAATAACGTACCATAACAAAATGTCGCGCAGAAGGGTTTTATATGGTTGCGATTCTTATGACAGTCAAGTTATAAGCTACTTTTTATCAGTAGAAAATTTAAATACAGTTTTATTATAATAAAAATGAATTACTAGACCTTTTTTTCACTCCTTAAAAATAGCTTATGAAAAAAACATGAAAAGGGAGAAAACTAGTGGTACATGGCATCATGTCTTCAGGCAAATTGCTGAAACTTCTCGTTTTATTGAAAATTTTGTGAAAACTTTGAAAAAAAAAATTGATTTTTGAGAATTTTGAAATTTTTAGAAAAATTTGACTCTTTTGAAAAATTAGAATTTTTTCTACATTTTGAAGCGCGTAAAAATTTATTAAAATCTCCATAAAATATCTGAAATTTTGATGTGCCTATGCCTAATGATCATTTTTGACTATCAAATAGCATTTTTGTTACTTCCTCTTCAAATATTTTTTGAATCATTTAAATCGGACGCCCCATTTTCTCAAAAACTAGATTGCCATTTTTGGCACTTTTTGACCCGTATCTTCGAAACGGTTGGACCTGCCTTTGCCAAAAACTAATCTGCACGTCTTGCCATTAATAAGAATGCTTTTAGAATTATTTAAATTGGTTGATCCGTGTTTCCGAACTCGTCGACGATAATTTGTATCCGCACACATACTTACACACACGTATACACACACACATACATCAATTTTTTTAAGGTATGCTAAAATGTAAACAAAAACCTTTGAAACGTAAAGATTTATAATGCACTTCAGTTTTAAATAATACTTTACTTTTAGTTTTAATACTTTAGTTCTAATAACTAACTTGATATCCTCAAAACTGTTGTTTATAATTTTGTATATCTGACCTTTTTATATATACATACAGTTAATATTAATTAATAAAACATCTGTTCTCTTATTATTTCAATCATCCAACAATCAAATATATACATATATCCAATAATCAAATATATATATATATATATATATATATATATATATATTATAAATATACAAATATCTGATGAACTTTGATTTTGACGAATAATCGCATATGAAATGTTGTCGTCCGTGAGTGATGTTATCTTGGATTTATCGAAATTGTAGCAGATTTTATATAAAAACTGCTGTTAGCATTATTTTGATAACGTATAATATGCAATGATAAATTAACATTATCTCTAAATCTAGTTGAACTTTATACTTCGATCCTAAAAAACAGAATCATCATGCCAGGGGATAATACAATAGCAAACGAATTTTTATAATCATTCGGTCAGTGAGTACCCACTAGAGTACGAGTTGGGTATCATTGTTTTAAATTAAAGTGCAAAAATTATTTTTAATAAGTTCAGTGAATTCTTTAAAATTAGTGTTGGTATGTTTTAAACTACTTTTAAATAGTGTATTAAATAGGCTTATTATAGTATTAGCAAATTTTGTGAAGGCAATTTTGGTAAGCTGAGCATTGGAATAAAAATCTCGTGAATCTCATGTACCGAAGTTTTCTAAATTGAAACCTATTTAATAATTTTTTATACCATATTTATTATATGTGTTATTCTATGAAACACTTTTTTTAGATTCTGAGTTAGCAATACTCACTAACTTAAGTTCTTCAAAACTACGATGTACTGGTTTGAATTATTTATATATTTTATTTGTATTGACAAAACGAAGAACTGATTGAATTTTTGGGAAGACAGGTCTAGCGGTTTCGAAGATTCAGTAAAAAGAAGTAACAAAAATGCCATTTGACGGTCAAAAATGATCATTAGACATATGCATATCAAATTATGAGATATTTTATAGAAATTTTAATAAAAAGTTCAAATTTTGTTTATATTATCATAGGTTCCGTACCAATGTTCATTAGGCTTTGAAGCGGCGCTTACGCGCTTCAAAACATAAGAAAAATTCAATTTTTTTAAACTTTTTTAAAACATTCAATATTTTAAAAAATCAATTTTTTCAGTTGTCAAAAAAATTTCAATAAAAGATATTGTAAAAATTTTAATCTTCGGTACGGGAAGTTTCAACAATTTGCCTTAAGACAAATGCACCACTAATTTCTTCCTTTCATGTTTTTTCTTAAGCTATTGTTATAAAGTTTCATTCAATCCCGATTGCTACTTTGAGGGAAAAAATAGTCTAGTGATTCATATTTATTGTGTTAAAATTGTATTTAAATTTCCAAGTGAAAATAGCCTTTCCCTCTCATCATTATGAGAGAAATTTTAATATTAAAAATGTATCGAATATGGATAGTTGGGTTGCCTTCTAAAATCCACCTAGTTAAGAAAAATCATTACAACAGCTTACATTTCTGAGTTCTGATTAAATAAAATTATAATTGAAAGAGAAAAAGAAATACAATGTGTATGTGCCTGCTTTTGAGATTTTTATTTTTAATTTGATATATATATATATATATATATATATATATATATATACATATACATTAATATATGTTTCTTTTCCGAAGTAAGTAATCTAAATCTTAGAAGTAAAGGTTTTTAAGTTTTGGTAGATGATTAAAATTACAACGTTTCGGAATTACATACGTTCCATCATCAGGTTTCTCTGTCAAAAATAATTTATTATGAAATACCGATATTAATGATGATTGCAGAATAATAAAAAAAACTTAGATTGAATTTTTTCTGCAAATTCAAATATTTATCTGCATAACTTTACGTTTTCTTAAAAAAGCTGAAGTTATGCAGAAAAATATTTGAAATTAAGAAATAAAAATTATTTACCTTAAATCCATATCACTCATTTTTTGTCAAAAGCATTTGTAGAAAGAATTATTGAAAAAATGAAGAATATTTGTTTTTAATTGAAGAATATTTGTTTTGGTAAATTATTGTAATGTTGTAATTAAATTTTGTGCACGCCCAGGTGTAGGCAAATATATAGGAATTCCTATATATTGCATACAAAAAACCACAAATAAAATTTATCCTGTCGTCGTTAAAAATTCATCGAATCTCATAGTGCATTTTGCAATAGTTTTTTTTATAAATTAATAACAGAATTTTATTATCATATTTTATCACGGGTTTGTATATTATTTTAAACTTATTAATAATAATATGAATGGGATTAGCCTTTATTGAAAAATGCACACAGATTTATATTAGTGCAAGCCAAGATTTCATACCAAATTATAATTTATTGAATTCATTTACTGAAGACGTTTAGGAGTCTTATTGATATGAGAAATTTAAATAGTTAATATTGTTTTATCCTTTTTTATATTTATTATAAATACATCATAATAAATGACGGAATGATTATGTGATCAATGATAATAAATCATAAATATCATATATAATTTGTTTGTTTTTGGGAGCTCATAGAAATATAAAATTGTTTGTTTTTTTAAGAAAAATTTGTTTTTACCCAACTAATTTTCGCCTAAAAGTATTTCATCTTGAGTGCTTTAGAAAATATAACTTCTAAATTATATATCTATTAATTATATTTACGTATATGAAATAAAAAATTTAAAAAATGAATAGCAATTTCAAATATAAGATTTCCAAGAAAGCTGAATTAATTATGAAATGTTATAGACATCTCACGTATATTATCAAAAAAACATCCTGGTAATTGTATTGTTGTATGCTGAAATAAGTTGATTGGTCTACCATACAACAATGTTTATAAATAAAAAGTCAACCACGTCAATGTTATTTTGCGTCATGATCACACTAATTGTTTAGAGAACTAATTTGCCGCATGATAAGAAACATTTGAATTTGATTTGTCAGATTGTTCAATACAAAGATTGTTCTAAAGAAAGTAACAACATATCGTTTAAAATCGGTATTCATGGAATATTCCAATAATCAAATCGTCATGTAATTGGCAATGAAGTAGCTGCCACGTACTTCATTAAATTTCATTTTCTCATTATGGCATTTGAAAATATTTTTTTATGATCATTGTGTTTTTTTGTACACTGAAGTCACTGAAGTCATATGTGCTCTTTGAACTTCGAATAAGAATAACAATAATAAATTAGATAACGAATAGAAATAAAATCATGCTTCCTTTTTTGCAGATAAATACGACGGTCTACTTCAACTACATATCAGAACAACACATTATGAAAACGACGTTATGACAAATTGCAAACTTTAAACTCATGACTGAGGATTGTGATGCGAAACACGCAAAACTAACCTTCAAATGGCTTCAGTCAGAAAGAAAAGTAACAGATTAATAAAATATCAGAGATAACGTATATATTTTATTATTATTTATTACGTGTTAAATAGATATACGATTGAATTAGAATTTAGAATTTAAAAAATTATATCAAAATGACGGTGATGTCGAAATTGCGTCAGGATGTGACGAATCGGATAGCGGAGATAAATGGACCCAGCCATATACTGTCAAAAGGTCTTCTGGGGTCAGCTGTGTTGTTATATGCCATTAAGTTGTCTTACCCCTATATTAAAAGAAAATGTTCGAAAGCTACGACTAATGCCAAAATTACAGAAAATAACAATTATTACGGAAACAAATTAAACAATGGCGAAGTCGACACCATCAGCAAAACAAAGAAAAAGAAACAGAAACTTAAGGTTCCCGGTCTGGACAGGGAATTCCTGCAACAATTACAAGAACTAATGTTTATAATGATCCCAAGACCTATGTGTATGGAGAGTGGATTATTGGCTGTGCATACCCTTTGTTTGATTTCTAGGACTTTCCTAAGTATTTACGTAGCTTCTATGGAAGGTGCAATAGTTAAACACATCGTTAGGAAGGACTTCAGAAACTTTATGATAATGTTGCTGAAATGGTTTGGAATTGCCATACCAGCAACATTCGTCAATTCCATGATCAGATACCTCGAGAATAAGTTAGCATTAGCCTTCAGGTATGTAATAGAGAGAGATGATCGGTAAGAATTTTAGAGCACCTTTTTAGAATACATAGTTAATGTAGTTTTTGGTATAAGGTAGAACCTCGATTAACCAGACTAATAGTTGTCCGGATAATCAAATGTATGAAGAATAATGTTGTGTATTAATCAAAAATAACAAATACATACATAGATATCAACAAAAATAATGTTTATTAAAAATTGAAACATTCTTATGTATGTACATATATATTTTCTTACAATTAGATTACATCACATATACTAAACTGCAGCATTAATCGTGCAAAAATTCGAATTGTAGGTAAGTACATACATATAAATTAGTCGCGGTTGGTAGTCCGGATAATCGCGAATCCGTATTACAGAGATCCGGATAAACGAGGTTCTACTGAATTTTCTACTAAATAGAAAACATGAATCAAAATCAGATTTAGGAACCATTTTAGGGGGCGGCAATCAATCACGTAAGGTTTAATGGGGGAGGGAGGGGTTGGTAAAAAAATTACAAACTAATACGTAGGGGAGGGGGTAACCAGTAAGATATCGCGTGCATTTATTTTTTACCTGAATTTGAAAAGAAATCCAAGATTGTTTAAGAAAAAACCTAAATTTTTACGGTTGTTTCTAGATACTAAAAATACCCGTGATGTTGGGTGGGGTAGAGGGTGTGATTTTAAAAATCACCATGTATCAGCAAGGGGGGAAAGAGGGGTTCAAAAATCCTTGAAAATCGATCAGGTGATTAAGGGACGGATACTTATCAATCTATTACGAATTTTTAATAAAAATGTATCGCTTAACACGTTGATCGCCATATCAGTCATATGTGTCTAACGCTGGGGATTTCTACATGAAATATGTCCGACATAGATGTCGAATGCCAACGACACAAATGCATTATGTGTCAAAAGCCTATCAGGAACAAATTCTAAAAATGTTATGGCTTTCGAAAATAAAAGTTTTTATATAGGGCCATGTCCGTCATATATGTGTGACATAAAAAATAGTTTTTTCCATGAGTTTTGGCAAAATAAAATTTTTCTTTGATACATTATGTTTTCTTGATGAATTTTTAACTAAATTATTAAAGTTACTATACCATGGCCCATGTGAATTTTTCACTGATATCACGGCGATTAACATGTTAAAATATATAAAGAAGTTACAAAAAATCTTTATTTTGCAATTTAAAGAAGTAGATAATTCGTCCTATGATCGTAATCTATGTCGTAATTGCCAGTCAACGTGTTTGAAGTACAAAAATCTATCAAAATGCTAATTCGTTCGTTCCTTTTCTTAGAACTTTTTCTATCTTGTTACTTTATTTTATGTTGTATTTTTCCTCATTGTGTAATTTAAAATAATAACAATATGTAAAACATAATGTAACAAGACAGAAAAAGTTCTATGGAAAGGAACAAACGAATCATCATTTTGCTGGATTTTTGTACCTTTAACACGTTGACTGCCAACTACGAGATAACACGTAGATTGCGATCATATTATCTAGACGAATTATCTCCTCCTGTATTTACTCCAGATATGTCAGTGCTAATATCGATATTTGGCTTTTGGGTAAAGATAAAAAAATCAAGGTTGGCGGCTTGCACGAACAGAAAATTTATTAAAAATCTAACAAAAAACAATTTCATAATTTGTTTTATTATTAATCTAAATGAGGAAAAAAATAATATTTTATTGATCGACTTCTTAATCGAATAATATTCCGCTAAGAGATTTGTTACAGGGGCCAATTACAAGCTAATTCTTTAGACCTTTCTTTTAGAATAAAGAACTTTTTTAAAATTTTGGATGCACTAAAAGTGAAGTTTTAAATAATGTGATTAAATCAAACCGTAATTTCTAACTAGATATTATAAAATTCAACTTAAAATAATGTGCCACAAAATACTAAATTAATACTGATTTTTTTCCTTTACAGATCTCGCCTGGTTAACCATTCATATAAATTATATTTTAATAATCAAACTTACTATAGAGTATCAAATTTAGATGGAAGAATTGAAAATGCAGATCACAGGTTAACTTTAATGAATCATTTTATTTTTAATAGAAATTAATTGAATGATGTAATTAAATCAATTATTAATAATTCTGCAGACTGACTGATGACATATCAATATTTGCGAGCTCCGTCGCCCATTTGTACAGCCATATAACTAAGCCGTGCTTCGATCTCATGCTGATAGCACTCGCTTTGACTAGGTCGTCTAAGAAAATGCAGGCGAATTTCATATCAGGTAATAATTTAATTGTAATTAATCAGGTAATAATTAACTAGTGGTGCATGGCATCGTGTTTTGATGCAAATTGCTGGAACTTCCCATACCCTAATTTAATTTTTTTGCTAACTTTGAAAAAAATAGATTTTTGAGAATTTTGAAATTTTTGAAAAAATTGGACTTTTTCCAAAAATTCCATTTCTTTCAAATTTTCTTAAAAAATCTTTTTTTAACTTCCCATAGGGCAAGTTATAGTTATCGCAAAAAAATCGAAAATGAAAATTTTTATATATCTTTACGTTTCAAAGGTTTCTGAACATTTTGGCATACCTTAGAAAAAATGGATGTATGTGTGTGTGTGTGTATGTATGTATGTATGTATGTGCGTGTGTGTATGTATGTGCGGATACAAATTTTCGTCGACGATTTCGGGAACACGGATCAACCGATTTGAATAATTCAAAAAACATTCGATTCGTATTGATAAGGAGACGTGCTGATTAGTTTTTGGCGAAGGCAGGTATAGCCGTTCCGAAGATACGGGGCAAAAAGTGCCGAAAACGGTAACTCAGTTTTTAAGAGAACGGAGCGTCCGATTTGAATAATTCAAAAAACATTTCACTTGTATTGACAAGATGAAGAATCGATAAAATTTTCATGAAGGTAGGTCTAGCGGTTTCGGAGATATGGAGGAAAAAGTAAAAAAATGAGCCATTTGGCGGTCAAAAATTATCATTAGACATATGCACATCAAATTATCAGATATTTTATAGAGATTTCAACAATAAGTATACATTTTGTTAACATTTCTATGGGTTCCGTACCAATGCTTATGCGTTAGACAGCGACGCCGCGCTTACGCGCTTTATATTTTGTCCCTATGCAGTTAAAGCAGTACGATTGCTTTGAAAAAAAGTTCAGATCTTCTACAATATGTCAAAATAAAGAAAAAAAAAATTTTTTTCAAAAAAAAAAATTAAAAAAAAATGTTTTTTTAAAAAAAAATTATTTTTTTTCAAAAAAAAGTTATTTTTTGTCCAATTTATAGTTTCTCAAAAATCTTATTCTTTCAAAGTAATTTTTTTTCAAAAATGTTAATTGTTTTTAAAAAAATAATAATTTTTGGTACGGGAAGTTCCAGCAATTTGCCTTAAGGCACAATGCCTTCTTAATTGCCTTAAGACAGAATTCCACTTACAGCTAGTTTATCAAAGCAATCGCGCTGCGTAGCTGTTTTAGAGACGAAATATCGAGGCTCGTAAGCGCCGCGTTGCAGACTAACGGTTAAACATTATAAATCTTGGTACGAAACCATAGAAATGTGAAAAAAAATTGTACTTATTATTAAAATCTTCGTCTGCTTAATTATCATTTTTGACCGCAAAATGCCATATCGACTATAGGAATCGAATGTTTTTTTAGTCATTCAAATCGGTGGCAGGTCCAACCATTTCGAAGATACGGAGGTAAATGTGCAAGAAATGGCAGTTTTTGAGAGAACTAAGGCATCCGATTTGAATGATTCAAAAAACTTTCTGCTTGTGTTGACGAAATAATTGCTTTTGGGATAGTTTTCATTTTTTTTATCTCAAAATTTAATTTTTTTCCAAAAAAAATTTTTTTGTATATCGAAAATAATTTGGATTTAATTTTAATTCTGGCTAAAGTTCTAAAGCTCAATTATATACTTTAAATAAATAATTTTAACTTTGCAATTCGATTTATATAATTCTTATAAATATTAAAATAATGTCTTTCATTTCAAATCCGAATGATTTAAATGATTTTTTTGTAGATAATTTTATGCTCCAGGTAATTTTGCGATAAAACTGAAACGTTTGTGAAAATTATTATAATTTAATAAATGAGTACAAAAAGAATGTTGTTTGTTCAAATTTCCAAAATAATATATATATAATATTAATATATATTAATATATATATATATATATATATATATATATAATATATATTAAGTGCACACAACGCTATGCTATCATAACATTAAATATAGGAGGGCAATATGTGCTCCTCCTATTTCTCGATTGTTAATAGTATTTTATTATTTTACACAAATTTAGTGTTAAATCAATTTTGCATCATAATTAATGTTTCCTGTTTTTCCTGGTTTCGACACACATCAAGTGTCGAAACGTATAATGGAATAAATAATTTTGTTATTTAATCTTTTTTTAATTCGACGGTTGGGCTGCAAAAAATTTTACAAATATGTATCAACGTCGACAAAACTTTCATCATATATATATATATATATATATATATATATATATATATATATATATACGAGGTGTGTTCAAAAAGTACCCGGAATTACTAATAATTAAATTTCGCGGGTCTGGAGTGTCTGATTTTTTTTTATTGTGTTGGTATACATGCCCTTAAAGTATGATGAAATTTTCAGCTATATTCACTGTTTACTTTGTCTGTGGTAGTCGCTAAGGTTCGACGTGTTTTTCTGAGCTCGGCGATTTTTACAATGGAAGAATTGAAAAGTCAAAGAATTTGTATTAAATTTTGCGTAAAAAATGAAATAAAGTGTTGCAAAGTGCAAAAATTCACCAGATATGGCTCCGTGTGACTTTTTCCTATTCCCAAAGTTGAAGAGACCCATGAAAGGACGGCGGTTTTCTTCGATTGAAGAAAATCGCTGAGAGTGCTCAAGGACATATCAAAAAGTGAATATCAAGGGTGCTTCGAAAATTGGAAAAAACGCTGGCATAAGTGTATTATATCTGGGGGGGACTACTTTGAAGGGGACCACATTAATGTAGACGAATAAATAAATATTTTTTTGAAAAAACGAAAATTCCGGGTACTTTTTGAACAGACCTCGTATATATATATATATATATATATATATATATATATATATATATATATATAATTATATATATATGCTAAAGTTTTTTCTATTCGACGTCGAAACATATTCTTCAAATGTTAATTTGCAGCCAAATAGTCGAAGTAAAAGACAATAAATAATTAAACTATATTTTGTGGGCTATATATTGAAAAGGGCATAATTTCAAATAAAATCTAAAGTATTTAAAAATTACGAATGTCATGATCCCATATGTTTTGGTCAACGACGAAACTCGTCATTCAGTTTAACAAAAAAAAAAAACATAATTTGCGATAAATAATTGAAACATTGAATAAAACTGAATTCATTTGATTCCTAAACTATGTATATGATGCAACATAAAATTGTTTATATCAGTAACTTATATTAATATTTACTCACCTCAGGTCCACTACTTGCCATTGTCGTAATAAGCGTGACGGGACACATAATGCGTGTTGTTTCGCCGAAATTTGGCCAGCTCGTCTCCGAAGAGGCCAACCGTCATGGTTACCTCCGACACATACACTCACGAATAATCACCAACGCCGAAGAAATTGCTTTCTACGGCGGACATAAGGTAAACACTGTAGTTTAGGATAATATAAACACAATATTTTTTAAAATGAGTTTTATAATTGTTGTTCGACTGCCGTTCATAACCACTTTGTGAATACAATCCTATTTAATCGACAAATCTGACAGAACTGCTGCGACCACGTTTGGACAGTGACTTATGGTTATGGCTTAATAATAAACTACTAGGCCATCTAGGCATTAAGTATTAACCTAACACCAATACAGATACAATCAAAACAGAGATGTCGAACAAATTTTAACCCTTCGTCGGTCGGATATTTATTCACCTACGAACGGTCGGAGTGGTTTGGCTGGACCACCATTCATTTTACATGCATTTATATGGGGTAAATGAGTTTTTGGTGTCTTATATATTAATGATTGTTAGTAATAAATATTTATAGTTTTGATTTTTTATTTTTCTTACCGTCTTTTGCATGTGTTGAGCTTGCTTATAATAAAAAAATTATATATCATATTATATTATATAAAAAAATTAAAAGAATATAAAAAAATCGTTGCTGTTTCTATTATTTTTATTTTTCTGTTTTATATCAATGAAAAACAATATTTATTCTTTTTCGGCTCCTTCGAAATGAATGTGAAATTCAAATGAAAACGAAATGAGGTGCGTCGCCTTTGAAATGAGCTGTAAAATTCAATATGAAAATATAATTTCACTACAGATTCGCTAAAAAAATTTTCGAACGAAGTACGGGTAGAAAAATTGTTGATAATGTGCGCATTGCTTATACGATTTTCAATGTTTGCGTTGACCAATAAGTTTAGTAAGTTTTCAAGGAACTCTCGTCGTGAAAATACTAACATTCATGTTACACATAGCAAAGAATATATAAAACGCAGTTTGAATAGAAAATACCAGAAAGAAGACAAAATACTGGTTCACATATATCAAAAAGCGTATATTTCATACAAAATGTATGGGTGGTCTAGACAGACCACTCCGACCGTTCGAAGTATAAAAAACTTAATACCCTTACAATTATCTTTCTGTACATTTTTTCGTCCTGATTTTTTCATTGATAGACAGCTAATGAAATTTTAGGAAATGTCAAGAAATTTCAAGTCGATAGGATTACTAGAAGTATTTTTGTTTTAATTGAAGTCGAAAAAAGTCTTGCCAGACCACGCCGATCGACGGAGGGTTAATCTAGTTTTTATAGATAATTTATTTTACAATATACTGTAAAAAATCAATCCTTAAAACACTAAAAAACAATATGTTGGTGAAATTTTTCATTTCTTTTACATATATGATTGATCTATTTTTTATGTTCAAACAACATGTAATGATATTTCGATGAAATAATTATAAGTATAACTAATAAGTATCTGAAAGAATAGGATTGATTTTGATGATTGATGAAAAAATTTCATACTAATTAAAATTTGATGAAAAAATACATGAGAAAAGCAATTCTGCTCATAATCTAATACAATTTTTTTAAAAATGCTTGTTAGCTACTTTTTATAAAAATTGCTCGAGATCAAATTGAAACTTCATCTTTTGCCAATTTTGAATTTTTTTTATTAAACTCTTCATAATAATTTCTTATTATTATAGTTTTTTATAAATTAACAATTTGCATGTGCAGATATATATTTTAATTTGTATCACAGGTAGAATTAATGCAGTTACAAAATGCATATAGCCGACTAGTAGCTCAAATGAACAATATATTCTCACAAAAACTTTGGTTTGTGATGTTAGAACAATTCTTTATGAAGTACGTGTGGTCGGGAACCGGGATGGTGATGGTTTCGTTACCAATCCTTACTTCGGGAAGAAATTTAGGTGAGTAAACTTTTTAATTGCTATAATTAGTATCTCTCAAAATGCATTTCAAGTTCTTAGGAACTTTAATATAGCTTAATATAAACCTAAAGTTATTTACCACTAATTAAAAATTATCACAGTAGAAAATATTTAACATTAATAACTATTATCACAGTTCAAATATCACATAGATTTTTTTGTTTTATGTTAAATTATAGTGCGCTATGAATACAGTTTTCCAAAGTATTGATAACGCAGATAGAAATGTAGCTACTTATTGAATATAATTGTGATCTTCGGTATATACAAATTCTGGAATATACAGAGAACCACAATAAATTTTAGAAGCACTCCAGATTATTGGGAAGAAATTAAATTTGTGCGTTCATAAATTCAACAGTCATATCAGGAGTCTGATGCAAATTATTATCCAACTTATATGGTTGAATTGGCCTAATTTTTTACTCTATGAGTATCACGAATTTTAGGATGCGATTTGTCGCATATAAATAGATATATACATTGACGTGCATAAGTATTTATTTATCTTTGAAGATTTTTTTTGGTCTACCACGTGTTTTAGAGGGTTGGCTATTTCTTTCTTGGCGCTGTCGTTCGGCATGTCTCTTCATCAAAGTCTTATACTTGTTAAATAACCGGCCGGGCTTATGATATTTCGGACTAGATTTTTTTTGTGTTGCATTTTCAGGACTCGTCGTTGATGAAGATAGATCAGTGCATTTAGGTGGAGTCGTGTTGGCTGGTGATTGAGCGACACTGCTTGAAGTAGAAGGTATTTCAGATGGTTTAGCTTCATTCAATGGCCTTGGTTCAATGGTTAACGTCGATGCAGTATTCTCATTTGTTTTAATCATATTCTCATCAATGCTTTCAGCACTCTTCGTTTCATCAATTTTTTCAGCAACGTTCTTTAAATCCGTTTTAATGGTTGTCGTCTTCTTGCTCTTTGGTGGTAATATTTTTTTTGTAGCTTTTCTATCTATGTTTGCGTATTTTAAATTTTTAACTTTCAGCTTTGAAGAGCGTAAATTTCTAGCAGGTGGGTCAAATGGCATCTCAGCCCGTTGTTTCGAAGTCCTGGTGCGCATATTGTACTTACGCCGTTTGCGCGTACGTAATTGTATTTTTTTCTTCTTTACTTTGTTTATCTTTATGCAAGCAGTATTGTCTTTGACTTCTTCAGGTTTCGGTGATTCATCAATACTCTCAATATTTGTATTGTTTATTGGCATTATCGGTGGCTCAACGGCTGCATTGTTACCAAGTTTAGACATAGGTGATTCATCAATACTCTCAGTATCTGTATCGGTTATTGTAATTATTGATTCATCAATACTCTCACTATCTGTATCGTTTATTGTGATTATTATTGGCTCGTCGGCTGTACTGTTACCTAGTTTAGACACCGGTGGTTGATCAATACTCCCAGTATCTGTGTCGTTTTTTGGCAAAACTGATGGCTCGACGGCTGTACTCTTACCAAGTTTAGACACTCTTAAATTTCGACGTTGCTCTAGTCTTGCAAAACGGTTCTCACAATCTATGGGTTTAACAGATGTAGCCGTTGATACAGCTGTAGTGGAACCTATTTTGGAATTCATGCGGGATCTTTTCATCGCAGCCTTGTATTTGTTATAACATGCTGTGCGATTTATCTTGGGTGATATTCTACCTCCAGCTGGTTCAGTCTTTTCCAGTGAAATGATCCAGTCCCTCACGTTCTTTGGTGTGAAGGATTGCAACGATGTTCTTGACAAACTTTCCTGTAAATCACTTTCATCATCACTACATGAAGGGTGTGATACTTTTCGCTTTTTACGTTTAATAGGTGAAGAAGTAGCATATACATCATTCCTAACCCAACCCTCTGATGAACTATCTAATGATGATTTATCTGTTGAGTCGTCAGTTGATGAATATGAAGATGACCAATCATTGTTTTGCCTTTGATATCCAGTTGTGATAGGTTTCGCAGTGCCACTTGTTGAGGGAACTGGTTCTTCTGTTTCTTCCAGGCGTTTTTGAATATTATCAATACTCGTTTGAGTTTCTTGCGCACGTTCTGTCGTCGGTTCTGTTTCTACACTCATACCCTCTGCAGAAGTTCCGGGTAAGGAATGAATCCCATCATATACAATTTTATTTTCAGCTATAATTCCATATACTCTAATTTTTTTTACTTCAGAAGTAGACGTCATTACACTCATATTATAAGCTTTTCCTAGTTTATACGTTATAACCTTCCTCCTTCTAATCGTACTCTCATTATCTGATTCGTCTAAACTGCTATCGACATTTGATTGCATTAGTGATCTATTATCGGCTGTTTCGGAATCCATTTTCAGATGATTGAGGATTGGATACTGAAAAAACATATTTAAAGAGCACAGCAATAATTTTCATTTATAAAAAAAATATTTCATTTTCAGATCAAGACAGATCTAGCGATGGCGGCGTTAGTGAACGGACGCAATATCTTACCACGGCGCGCAATCTCTTATTATCTGGTTCGGATGCTGTTGAAAGGCTGATGTCGTCATATAAGGTATTATTAAAACGTCATTTTACGTTTCAATCATTTCTGCATTTATTTGCGATAAATAAGACCGCACAAATCAAAAGCATCCAAACTATTTTCGAATAAAATGAGAACTTAATTTCGCATATGATATTAGTAGATTCAACGTTCAAATTTAAAATTTCAATTTGAACTGAAATTCATAAGTAATTACTTCAAGATTTGAAATTTTGAAAATCAGAAAATATAATATTTATAAGATAAGTGTTCTTTCCTTTAGTTTATTATATAATATTGATAACTCACTTATTACGTATTTCTATTGTAGGAAATTGTCGCGTTGGCTGGTTACACGCACCGCGTTGCTGGTATGCTTAAAGTCTTTGATGATACCTCGAAGGGAATTTATCGCAAAAACACCGTAGCTGCTTCGAATACTGCAACGGAATCTACGCAATCAGTTCTTGAGTTCAGGGACGGCCAACCTGTTGCTAAAGGTAAATTACATATGGTGAATGACAGAATACATATATAAGTAGTAATAGAGTAATATATAAAGTTTCTCGCATCTATTACCCATGTATAACGAGCAAAATTATATTTATGTTGAATACTTTTCTCACAGTAACTGATATTAACACTGATCCAATAAATTATATAATGTAGAAAACCGTTTTATGGTGCATTCGTCAAAGGTAGAAAGAATGAGTTGAATCGATTTTGTTTATATAAAGTTTTTTTTCCAATCTGAACAATGTAATTGAAACAATGCGATTTAATAAACAATAATAGAAAAATCGGTACATTAATATTGTCTGGATAGTCTTTTAAATAGGATAGAATCGTGCTTAAAGGAAGGTCCGCAGACAAAAAGGTCCACCATTGATATCTCAAAAACAAGTAAAATTAAAACTTTTTTAGCAACAATATTTAAAAGTAGAGTGAAAAATATGTATGCCCAGAGTGTTCTATTTAAAAAACTGAAGTTAGATTCAAAAGTTTTTTTTATATAGCCTTCATAAAAGCTATTCGTGGGTGGGGTAAAAAGGACCAACTAAACCTTTATCCTGGCGAAGGTGTAAGCAATAAAAAATAGCAAATGAGAAAGTAAATTAAATTAAAATAAAGCTATTTTACAAGAGATAAATTAAACAAATAATTATTCCAACTCTGCTGATGATTTTTTCTGATGAAATACCAGATCAAGGTTATATACGAGTATATCTCTGTAAAAAATGTACCCTGGAAATTTATATTTTGCATTATTTGAATAGTGTAGCTATTAGTTTGTAAAATTCGTTTGAAATTAAAAATAAGATAATGGACCTGTTTGCCTCTTTGCCGTCTCATTTTACCCCACCTATGGGGTAAAAAGGACTAGGTGACAAATTTTTGAAAAACAGCAAAAAAACATAGTTTTGGTAGTTTTAAAGAACATAGTCAGATAATTTTAATGAACATAGTCAGATAGTTGTTTGTTTGATATATGTTATTTGTTGTAAAATTATTGGTTTAGTTTCGGCAATATAATTGCTCCAAGTCAAATTGACCCCGCCCTACTCTATATATAATATCGTATGAAGAGTGAAGAAGAGTGGATGATGTTTTGATGATATTTAGTATATATATATATATATATATATATATATATATATATATGTGTGTGTGTGTGTGTATTATAATGTACTGTAATGTATTATATTATAATATAATGTGTATGTATAATTTTTGAGTTCTATTCAATTTTTAATAAATATTTTTTCCTTATTAGGCAAAATAATATACACGGACGAATTGGGCATAACTCTAGAAAATGTGCCTGTAGTGACGCCGAATTGTGATATCGTAGTGCCGCGACTTAGTCTGCGTATTGAGCCTGGAATGCATTTATTAATTACGGGGCCTAATGGCTGTGGTAAATCTTCCCTGTTCCGTATTCTGAGCGGTTTGTGGCCGATTTATGGAGGTGAACTCCACATTCCCCGACCAGTCGATAGCAGGCCAAACATGTTTTATATACCACAAAGGTAATGAAAATTAAGAACCCTGATTTGAGAATGAATGTTGTGTATTAAAATAGGAATATTTGGGCCATTTGCCAATATAGAAAAATAATAGTTTTATATATACACACACATATATATATATATATATATATATATATATATATATATAAATAATATATATATATATATATATATATATATATATATATATATATATATATATTAATTACTATATATATATAATACATGTTAAATGTGAACAATACAATACTCAGATTTTTAACACATACTTTATTTGGTAATTACAGACATTTCGAGACCATGGTATGCCTCATCTTCATTGTCTCGAGGCATACCATGGTTTCAATCGTCTATAATTACCAAATAAAGTGTGTGTTAAAAATCTAAATGTTGTATTGTTCATATTTATCATCTAATATTTGTTCCATTCATATTTCACAAAATTCTATAATTCTTATATATATATATATATATATATATATATAAAGTGTAAGGTTTTTTACATGGTGAAACGTAAACGACCATATATTTTCGGGCATCCATCCAATAATAAAACAAAAAATTCTGAGGAAAAATGTCTTTAATAAAATAGCATGCTTTTTAATATAACATATTCAAGTATATATACAAGCCTTGGTTTGACTCTTTATAGTGTATATGAATAACACAAATAAAACATCTAAACTGAGAAGCACTAATTAATATAAGAACATAGTTATAAAACAAAATAAATTTTTAATAATAAAATAAAGTAAATAAAGAAGACTTGTAAAAGAATGGTTGTGTCATTATACCATATTTACTCTGTAAATGCAAGTCAAACAGTAATTCAAGAGTGCTTCCTGAACCCTACTTTTACAATTTTTTAAATTTACTTTATTTTATTATTATAACTATGTTCTTATATAAATTAGTGCTTCTCAGTTTATATGTTTTATTTTAATTATTAATATGCATTGAAGATCAAACCATTGAAGTCAGACAAAGACTCGAAAAGTATGGTATGGCAATAAAGAAACTTTTCTTTATTAATTTTTGTTTTATTATTGGATGTATGCCCAAAAATATTTTATCATAATATATATATATATATATATATATATATATATATATATATACATATGAAATATATCTGAAGTAATATGTGATTGATTATAATCGAGATATTTATAAATATTTTTTCTATTTCAAACAATGAGTATAAAACAACTGCATGAATTCATAAATTCATAATAATTTAAGATTTTTATTGTCACCACATAAAAATTGTAGTTAGACTTGATATATGGTATGATGTATATATTCTGTAAAATGGTATCAATTTATAAAAAGTTTCATAACTTGAATTAATTTTGTTTCCAGGCCATATATGTCAATTGGAAGTCTTAGAGATCAAGTTATTTACCCTGATACTAGAGAAGAAATGTCAAAGAAAAATGTTACTGAAGAGCAATTACGTGATATCATGCGCATGGTGTGTTTAGAACATGTTGCACAACGGTAATCACATTTTAAATAATAAATAATAATAATAATAAATGGTAGTCTGCCCAAAGGCAGGTCCATGGTGTGAGAGCCACCACAAATAAATGAATGATGAAATAATAAATATAATTTATTTAAATAAAAAATAATACAATAAATATTTATTTATTTTGCACAGTGATAGTTTTGATGAAATCAGAGATTGGAAGGATACATTATCAGGTGGTGAGAAGCAACGAATGGCCATTGCACGATTGTTTTATCACAGGTAAATAATCAGTTCCTGCAGACAAAAGTCTATTTTAAACAAATTGTAAATAGAACAAAAAAATAATTAGGCTAGTTTTGAAATTATAGTTATTCAATACGAAAATTTATAAACATCTGCTAATGTTTAGCAATAAAATTTAATAATCATAGAGTAATAATGAGTGATATATCAATTTTCAATAATTTGCAGACCTCAATACGCTTTGTTAGATGAATGCACAAGTGCAGTATCGATTGATGTTGAAAGTTCTATATATCAAACTGCAAAAAATATGGGAATTACGCTAATGACTATAACGCATAGACCTACTCTGTGGTAAGTACATTTAAAAAAAGTTGAAGATTTTTCTTTCAGGGACCGATATCACTGGTATATCAAAATAATTTATGATAATACTAAACTAATGACTTTGAGTCAAATCAGACCTGGCAATAAAAAATTCCAGGATCAATGATCAAAATTGACTTATGAATTGCCAATGATCAAAATTGAATGAATTATAATGTTATAAATGAAGAAATGAAAGTTTATATTGCTTTACATTTGTGAAATGTGTTGAATATCAATGAAATCACTTTACATTTTTTTTAACAGTGAGGTGCATATATGTACCATGAGTAAAATCCATTACTATTTTTAATCATGAACATACTTCAACGTCTATTGCACAAACTTAATTAAAAGCGATTGTTCTAGTATTTATTTAATAAAATATTTAACGAAAGAAATTATTGCCAAAAAAAGTCTATTCATATGTATGTATAAAATTTATATATATATATATATATATATATATATATATATATATAATATGAAGAACAATTCATAATTACGATGTACATACAACATGAGTTGAATGTATAATGTACATGACATGAACTAATATATATATATATATATATATATATATATATATATATATATACACAAAATTCTCAAATCAGTATTCATTATTAAAGCATAATGATTCATTATTAAAGGTACGTGATATCAATGAGCTTTGTCTCATCACAAAAACAAATTATTATTACGTACAATCAATATCCAAATTAATGATTATCAATAGAAAATCATTACAATTAATTAATTTGAAAATATAATATATATAATCAGTATTATATTATAGGTAAATTAAAATTAATTTATTCGAAAATATAATACAAAAATAATCGGTAACATACTATAATTCAGTTATAAAAATGATGGTCGTTTATCAAAATACAATTGATAAAATGATTGTAAACAATATTATTATTATCTGAACATCTTACAAATTGAACTATGTATAATATAAATTCCATAAATTATCTTCAGAAATAAGTGAAATAATAATCATATAACTGTTCAACAAGAGAAAGCCGAAAACTTTTGAAGCAACAAAATGGCGATCAATACCTAATCAGTTAAGTTAAGTCGATCAGCTTTTCGCGTACGCGAAAATTTCTTAAAATTAACGCAAACAATATATCTAAACGTCTTACAAATTGAACTTTATACAATATAATCTCTATAAATTGCCTTCAGCTATAATCTATAATCATATAACAGCTAAATAAGAAAAATCCTTAAATTTATTGAAGCACCAAAATGGCGATTGATACCGAATCACTTAAGTTGAGTCGATTAAATTTTCGCGTACGTTTAAATAACATATAGATGAAAACTAACTTACGTTTTCTGCAGTCACTCTACTAAATTCGTATTTTCTACCTTCTGACACACCACTTTTAATATTTAATGCTTACTTGGACGATATTTTGTGCAAAAAGTAATCCGTACATGATCCTTTTCTGCACAAAATTTTGCAAGAGATCAACACGATCAGCTCGCCGCAAAAAAGGTGAACCAACATGAAAAAGATTTAGCGCCGCAAATATCTTGCTTAGAAAAAAATATTTAATGAACACTAACGATATATCAGTTAATGTATATTAAATAAGTTATACTTACTAATTATATGTACATTAATGTATTACTACAAGCGTCGCCTCATATTGTAATTCGGAAATGAGAATAATACACCCCACATTTGGTTGTCCAAAAGAAAATTGCTTAAAATTAACGCAAGCAATATATCTAAACGTCTTACAAACTAAACTTTATACAATATAATCTCTATAAATTGCCTCCAGCAACAAGCTATAATCACATAATTGCTAAATAAGAAAAATCCATGAAAATTTATTGAAGAATCAAAATGGCGATTGATACCGAATCACTTAAGTTGAGTCGATCAGATTTTCGCGTACGCTTAAATAACATATAGAAGAAAACTAACTTACTTTTTATGCAGTCACTCTGCTAAATGATTATTTTACATCTTCTGGTGTGGCACAGTAAATATTTAATGCTTAATTAAACGATATTTTTCACAAGAAAGAAATTGTATATAATCCTTTTTGGACAAAATTTTGCAAGAGATCAACACGACCAGCTCGCCGAAAAAAAGGTGAAGCAACATGAAAAACATTTAGCAATATGCACCGCAAAAATCTTACTTGAAATAAGTTAATAAATTAAAACTAACGATATGTGTTATTTATAATAATACTAAGTACACTAATTATATGTATATTAATGTATTACTACAAGCGTCGCGTTATATTATAATTCGGAAATATAAATAATGCACCCCAAGTTTGGGTGTCCAAAAGCAAATTTCTTAAAATTAATGTGAAAAAAAAAACTAATATTATCTGAACGTTTCACAAACTGAATTATATACAATATAATCTCTATAAATTGCCTCCAGCAACAAGCTATTATCACATAATTTCTAAATAAGAAAAATCCGTGAAAATTTATTGAAGAATCAAAATGGCGATTGATACCGAATCACTTAAGTTGAGTCGATCAGATTTTCGCGTACGCTTAAATAACATATAAATGAAAACTAACTTACGTTTTCTGCAGTCACTCTGCTAAATTGATATTCTCTATCTTTTGAAACACCACTCTTAATATTTAATGCTTATTTGGGCGATCTTTTGTGCAAAAAGTAATCTGTACATAATCCTTGTCTGGTCAAAATTTCACGCACAACCAATGAGATTAGCTCAACGAAAAAACAAGTGAACCAACATGAATGTGCGCGAACATCTTCCTTAAAAGAAATTATTTAATTAATACTAACAGTATATTATATATATATATATATATATATATATATATATATAATTATTAGTTGTACTTACTATTTATATGTGTATTAATATAGCCAAATCTTACAGCGTCGCGCATGTAATGCGGAAATGATTAACAAAAGTTAACGTTAAAGATTAACAATGTCTGATGTGCAAAGACGTGCGCAATCTACAACATTTTTTACTTAATATTTTTCAATTTTAACAAATTTCAATTACATCAAATGGTTTTCAAATTTTGAAATTTTTTTAGTTAAATATTGAAACACATTATTTTTAAAATTAGCAGGTTGTATTGTATAGCATAATCTTCTTCTTCGAGAAGTTAGTAAGCACAGAAATCTTATCAGAAAAGCAAAGACTGAGCATAAAATAACTGCTAATGCTAATATGTGTCTTATTACAATAAATAATATCTAGATTTTTTTTCTATCAATATTAATAAAATTTAACTCTAATTTTATCAAAGCATTTATCAAAAATTCAACATGTAAAAATTATTTAACGTTAATTTACTGCTGCTTTTAACAATAAGTACATAGCAATAGTTTTTTTTAAATTATTTAAGCTATCATGCATTTAAAAATCAAGTAACTAAAGCTATATATAAGTGATAATTTCACAAGCTAGAACGAAATATAAACATTTTCGAGGAGTTTAATATATAAAGAAAAACTAAAAATATTTGTACTTACATACATATCATGTTTCCTGTTATCACAATTTTAACACTAATTTTTTGTAAACTATTTCAGGAAATTCCATACACATATACTGGAATTTGATGGACAAGGGGACTGGACATTCCAGGAGTTAAACGAAAATTCAAAACAGAAAAGCTATAGTTAGTTTAAATTGCAGTTACCATCTATAAAGGAAACATCACTTTAACATAAATTTTTAAGTGCATATCAAATAAGAACATGAAGAATGTGCTCACAGACACTATCTTGGAGCATTGCAATGTGAAGAGATTTAAATATAATAAACATGAAAATTTTTTATTCTCAGCAACTTTTGTTCATAGTTCACATTAAATGTAAATTTTTAGCAAGGCAGTGGATCTGTATTGCATGTTCTAATGAAAAATTGTGACTTTATATTAAGTTTATAAATAAAATAAATGAGAATATCCATTTTTATGTTTTATTTACACATCAACCAGAAACGTTTTTCACAAATTTGTTAAAAGAAATTGTAATACTATTATAATTGCCTATTTCATTTAAAATTAAAATTTGGAATGAAAAACGTGATCCAGTTAGACAGCATTGTTACTAAATTGAATAGTCCATCACTGATACTGCTATTTTAGATGTTAGTTGCAATTTCAATTGTAATATTGCTGATACATGCATTATTGAGAGGATCATCACAGATCTATTTTTACTGTTGGGCAGCTAATTTCTTCTTGAGAGATTCTGGCATCTCTGGTGGTGGTGGTCGTGGCATACGCAACCAGACTTTGACGGCATCATAAATAAACCATTGGGCAGCGGTTAATGTACCAATCATGATGATCCTAGGTCCTAATCCCTTCCATAAACCAGCAAAGCCAAGTTTTTTGGCAGCGTCAATGGCTGTTGCTCCTTTGTCTTGATTTAGCTTGGAAACAACTGTGTCTGCAGGATGAGAAACTACTGCACAGAATACACCGGCAATGTAACCAGCAGCAAAGGTGACAACCAATTGTTCACCTTTAGTGCATTCTGCTCTGGGTTTGGGAACCACATGAGTGTATAACAATTCAACTGTTCTTTCGAAACAAGCAAACTTCATCATGGTATATGGGATTTGCCTCATCCACAATGGTACTAAGCCCTTATAGAATCCATTAAGTCCTTCATCCTTATAGATTTTGGGAACTGCTTCACGCATGGTGTTAGCAAATCCAGGCATAGTCTGGATACGAACTTTAGCAGCTTCCATGGGAGCTAAAGCAATGTCAGCAAAGAATTCTGCACTAGCAGAAGCCGACAAGTAAAGCGATGTCCTCCATAAGTACGATTTTTCTTCTCCCAATATGTCAGAGTACAATACTTTGAATACTTCATAAAGACCGAATTTGCAAAGACCCTGTGCAAAAATACATTTATGTTTTCAATTTAAAAACATTGAATAAAAAAATAAATATATCAATAGTATATGCTAGCCATGTTGAAATAACACACCTGCATGGAGTATCCAACAAAGGTTGGAGCCCAACCTTTAGCAAGACCTCTAGCACCATCTTCCGCTAGAGTTACCTATGAATTTAAATTATATTGAATTATCAATTAATAATTAATAATTAATCGAGTTGTAAGTAAAAATAAATGTAAAGTAAAATTACTTTGAATCCATTGAATACTGATTTGTATTTTGCAGGATCTACTTGAATACGGCATTTCACTAAATCAAGTGGAACGACCATGGTGTGTGTTACACCTAAAATAAACAAAATTAGTATCGTGCATTTATTATGGGTCATTTATGAAAAATTCAATCATACCGCAAGAAATAATTCCTCCAAATCCGCAAAGAGCAAAGTAATGACCAGATCCAAAGGCACAGGAATCTAAATATAATTATTATTAGAATGTATTCTATTTGAGAATTTGTAAACATTGTATAATACCTCCTGTTGCATCTGAGGTGGAGGCTGCCATTGTTGCCAATGATTTAGATTCAGCTTCACATTGTACAGGTGCAATAGGGCTACGGAAAGGCGAATTCCGTGCCACCTCTAACAAACTGTTGAACATGGTTGCCTAAAGAACTAATAAAAAAGTATGTATTAGCTTGTTGAAGCTTAAATTAACAACTAAGCGCCAATTGCTCAAGGCGTTTGATATATTTATAAATGACAATGACCCAAAGTAGAATTCATTTTTTGCATAATGTTATACTTGAAACTTCAATGCCATCTAAAACACCGCATCAGCACTTATTACATAACATTCAATTCGATGATATATTTATCAGACTTAGTGAAATACGCTACCACAAATTAAATACTAATGGAAAAATTTAATTGCTACATTAATTTTGCAGATATTATGCAACATCCACTTGAAAGGTTAATAAATCGATTGTAACATGTCGATCGATAAAATTAATAAACTACGAATTAACTACTCACAAGTAATCGAATAAATAATATGTTAAACACTACTTACTTTGTATATTCACAGACGACTGCTTTTAAGCCGCCTTTACTTAATGCACGAATCAGCAAAGTGCTGTCACAAGGCTAAAGCAGCCACAAAATGACGGAAGAACTGCAACTATCCTTAGACCACGTTTGCCAACATGCACAATTAAGGGCTTAGGGAATTTTGCTTATGCAAACTGTGCTCATGACAGGTGACCAACAATGAGAAAATTAAAAATGCTTGATGCTCGCCGTTTGACAGTTAACTCTTCATATAATAATTATAGTTGCTTAATCTCATATTTATTAGTAATTTAAAGAATTGATTATTGATTCATATTAGATATAATAGGTTTGTGATAACTAAAATGAGAGACATAAATTTTGCTTTGTAAACTGTGTAAATTTCTGGAGAAAACTGCATCAATAGTCGTGCCATATCTTGTTGTTGATTCAAATGGAGAATTATTCATTGTTAAATTAAATTTTTATTTAAAAAATCAATTAATGGCCGAGATTCTTCTGAACGAAAATTGACGTTGAAATCTCCAGCAAGAATTAATGTTATCTCGTTAAGATTAGTGTTTAAAAGTTTTGCACCTTTATTAAAGAAATGAATGAACTGCTGATGGAGAAATTTCATGATATTTGATACCTTTTTTTATTGGGTTTTAGTGGGAGAAATGTAAAGGAAAACTATAATTAATGTTTGATTATCCAGTAACACAGTTGGCACTGCCTTTCGACAAATCTGACATCCAACCTGATTATTTGAATCAATATTCAGAAAACTATTATTAAGAATTTGTTTTTGAAATTCTTTTAATATTAAGTCACTTTGAAATTAAAGTCGATCACACACAAAACATGCATAGCCAAAGCTATCATTTGTAAATTGTTTTTCAAACAATTTTTGTGCATTCCTAAACAAATTGAAGTTTACATATAGAAGTTCAATTACTTCAATTGACTCTTACAAAAGATCAGATCTCGTCAAATTATTAATCACATTATATACAGAATTATTTTTAATTACAATTAATTACTATTAGAATAAATTAAAATTAGACTTTATAACCATTTTAAAAGAAAAGCATGTAAGCTTTTTCTAAATTTCCAAAAGAGTCTTAGACATAATTCTGCCAAAAGATATATTTTCCGCATGTTAGACTAAAGCTGTGTTACTTTAGTATTCTTTAATCTCTATAAAAATCCAGATAATTATTATATTAAACAATGCCTAAAGAAATATTGTTTTCACAATTTCACTTATCATGTAATTATGTTTGAAGAACTTCATGTAATTAAAATTAATGTACATTTATTGACTCCTTGTTTTTTTTTACTATTTTCCTGGCGATTCAGTCTCATTTTTTGAGCAGCTTTAGTATCTGTCTTGGATATAAAAATATTTTCCATTTTCAAAAATATATAGTGACCACGAATAATACAAATTACTTCAATAAACTTGCATTTCTTACACGGCACAGGTTTTTTATTTGTTTTATTATTTATGTTATTATACAATCAAAGAACCCTCTGAGGCGACACGACAACCAATCACAATCGACCCGTATAGAAATGATCTCATCGAGAGCGAATGACGAATCATTGACACTCGACTTAAAAATAACTCCATAATTAAAAATAACTTAAAATTAAGCCATAACGCTTTTTCGTTGCATTTTCACAGATTTACTCCCTAGCGCCTAAAGAAGTTATACTTCAATTGTATTGTTATATTTAGTTCAGGGGCAAGGTTGTAGGAAAAAGTTTGTAACTTGTAATACATCTACTCTGTTAAGCTATGAAATCATAGTGCCTTATGTGTTGATCACCTTAACACGTTGACGCACACTTTTAATTTGATGATCGTGCTTTAGAAACACACATTTTTTTAATTGTTTATTTTTGCCAGACGAAATCGCTAAAGATCATATGGCTATAGCCGTCATTTGCAGCAACGTGTTAAGCACTTTCCAAATATTGAAACTAAAATATTGATGTACAAAATGTTTTTCAGTACTTCTACTTTGAATATTTTGAAACATGTAAGTAATTATATTATTACATACTTATTACTTAAATCTAATCTGGCTCTATCTAAAGTACATTTAATATTTACTTTATTGACTCCATGACCAGGAGTTATCTAATCAGAAATATCAATTATATTCCCAACTGTACAACAGATCAAAATTTATGGAGGCACTTTAAAATTATAAGCCTTGTCAGTATTCTGCATCTATAATTCTGGCATATTTTAAATAAGACACTTTGATCCATACAAGATTGACACTATGTAGCAATATTGGTATAATTAAATGAATTACATTGAAACTGCGATTTGTAATCGCGATCAAAATACATTTTAATTTCATTCAAGACAGAAGTACACATTTTTAAAAACATTTAAAATTATGTTTGACTACATAAAATATGAAATTTATAATTAATTTTATGCATATCTGGTTAAAATTATGTGATTTAGCCGTACATAGATAAAATTGATTATACTAATTTGTAAATGAATGCATATTTTTATTTGTATAAAATACACAAAATTTAATTATTTTCAAAAAAACATCTACAAACAATATAAATATACATTGCATTTATCCCATAAATAGTTAAAAATATCACCATTTAATCACATGGGTGTAATGAATAATTTTTAATTGTGAACATTAAAAACTGGTCATTTTTTTGTGGAACTAAAGAATAATATTATTTTAAAAGTTTGCATTAATGAAAGATGAACTTTGCAAAACAAAATAATTCATTATTAATAATCATTTGTAATACATGCTATTAACGAAGATGAAACATACATTCATATATTCCATATTTGGAGTACAATAGTTGTTTTATTCCAGCTAAGTGAAAACTGAAATCTCTTCAGCTAAAAATAAATTGTGCTAATTATTTAAAGTCTATTTAATTAAGATCTATTTTTCTCTTGATATTAATCTATTCTCCTCAGGTTGAAGAAATTCTTGACAAACAGCTTCTATCATTTCTTTAACAGTTTGCTTCAGTGTGACTAGATCCCTTAAACATAATATGAACTACTTAGAATCAAAATCTAAATATTAAAGATAGAAAGATGAATGATGATATAACAATATACTTACTTCATCTCTGGTTTTGCACACATTTCACTATAATATTTTAACTTTGGTTCTGTTCCACTTGTTCTAAGTGTCACTGAAAATCCATTGTTGAAAAAAAATGTGATGATTTGCGAAGACTTGCTACATGGTAAATTTGGTTGTTTTAATAAACTATCATAGCATGTTGTTAAATCTTGAATGCGACTGATTTCATACTTTCCATTTAAAATTTCATGTGGGTACTGAAATGAAGAATTTATTTCAAATATGCTTAGTTCAATATGATTAAGGTTTTAGTTTAGAAGCACATTTGAAAAACATAGTTTTACAAATAAAATATAAAAATATAATAGAATTTGTATTATCTACCATCTATGTTAATACCTTATCAGACCGTTTGGAACCAGGAAAATTACGCAAGCGTGCAAAAATAGAGTTGATTGTGTCCTGTTCATGGCATATATAGTAAGAATTTATTGTCATATGATAACCATACTGATTGTAAATTCGGTTTATTTGTTCATGGAGTGTTAATTTTTTTTCATCATACAAAAAGCATGCTAATGTAGCAAGCATAGTAGCTGCACTGATACCATCTTTGTCTAAAACTAAAGTGCCCCACATGAAACCAATAGCTTCTTCAAATGCAAAGAGAACATGTTTTTTATTCGCAATCAGTTTAATAGCTTCATTTCCTGTTAACAAATATTAGAAAAAAAAACTAGAATTAAAAAAAATGCAAAAGCTAGATAAATCTTATTGTTAATAATAAATTTTATAAGAGTTTGTATTATTAAATTATAAACTCTGCAGTAAAAATATGTATGAAATTATTACCCATCCATTTAAATCCAGTAAGGGTTTCAATAAAATGAAAGCCATGATGTTCAGCCATAGTTTTCAAAATTTTAGAGCTTACAGCACTTGATAACATATACACGCTATCTAAATTTAAATTAGGGTTTAGAAGTTTATGCACTTCAAGTGACCACCATCCTAGAAGGGCACCTAATTCATTACCGGTGAAAATATGCCATTCTCCATTGCTAAAAATGATATATGTTATTAGTGATTTAATATCAACAAAAAGTAAATATCACATGAATCAGTTATAGACTGTAACATTTACCCTAATTTTTCAGCACATGCAAGACGATCAGCATCTGGATCATTAGCTAAAACTATAGTCTTTCCCTTCTTATTTGCTAACTCTATTGCCAAATCCAAAGCTTTATTTTCTTCGGGATTGGGAAATTTAACTGTTGGAAAATCTGGATCAGGATGCGCTTGTTCCTGCCATAAAAGGACATCATTAGTAAATATTTATAATTTTCTAAAGAAATAATTCTTTAAATCCTTTATAGTAATTTATGATATATTACCTCAACTGCTATCACTGGTCTGAGATTTGCTTGCTCAAAAGCTTTCTGAATGTATTTATATCCCACACCATGCATAGGCGAATAAACAAATTCAAGTGATGATTTTGAATTTAAACTCATCAAATTATCTGGTATTAATTTACTCAGACTTTTGCAGTAATTATCAAACAAAACTGAGGGATCTTTATGAACACTCTTGGGAAGTACTGTTATGTCCCAAGATTTGGGCCAAGGTCTAAAAGTATTTGTAACTATACATAACATAATAGCCAATTGCTATTTCCAAATATATGTGAAGAAAAACTTACTTAAGATTCTCTAGAATATGCTTTTGTATATTTTTGTCATGCGGTGGTGTTATTTGGCAGCTATTTTCCCAGTACACCTAAAATATACTTAATTTTATATGTTATATTTTGTGTTACATATTTAAATAGAAATAGATTCAATCTTGTTCTACCTTATAACCATTATCATCTTTAGGATTATGAGAAGCGGTCACCATAATTCCTATTGCATATTTTTCTGACATCACTGTATATGGAATTAAAGGTGTAGGCACATAGTCTGTAAATAAGCCCACTGGCACTTCAGCATTCTGAAAAATTCTTGCGGTTATTTCAGCAAATCTGTCAATATATTAAAAATAGAGTTAGATTCTAAAAAATTAATATAAACTGTTAAAAATTAAGGAAGTTAAGTCAATATGCTTTGCAAACAGTTTTTATAAGCCTATGCTTTGGCATTGAATACGATAGAATTAAAAAATTGATTAAAATATGATAAATAATTATAATAAAAATATACCTTTTGCTATTATATCTTCCATCATATCCAATAACTACACCACGCTTAAATAATTGATCACCCAATGATTCTTCTGAGTATCGTAAAAGACCTTGAGCTGTCTGTAGAATTATTAATTCATTCATACCACCAGGGCCTGGTTGCATTGGACCACGTAATCCGGCTGTTCCAAATGTTAAACGAGGTGATGAAAATAATTTTTTGAGTTCATCATATTGGTGGTTTTGGGCTAAAGTTTCAATTTTTTTAAGACCCTGTTCACCCTGGGTAAAGAAAAGTTTTTTAATTAAAGAGAAATAAAATGTAATAAAATGGAGGAACATATGTGATACAAATAAAAAGTTTTTTTCATACATTTTATTTTGAATTTATAATTGTTGAAAAGAAAAGCGCCACTGGATTTAAGTCATCAATTTTCCTGATAAAGATTGAAATAACTTAGTTAGCTATTATTTATAAGAAATTATTTATAAGTAAATAGTTAAGATTATATCATTATCAATGAAATATTGTTAATATTATAACGAATGGGGAAACAACTATTGAGCTGTTTTTCCAACATGTCTGTTTAGTATACAATGTCCCTTTAAGGCTGACAATTGTAAATTCCTCAAATTTACCAAATGTCCTTAACTGAACAGTTGTAAATAAAATAAAGAATATATATATATATATATATATATATTATTGTACTTGTAAATAAAATAATTGATATAAATTAATGCTCACCCTATCCCATTCAAGCCACTCATTTAAAATTCGATCAATGTCTTCATTTTTTGTGGTGATTTTTAAATATTGTTTCTCCATAATTTAAATAAATGAAGTAACAATAATGTTACTTATAAATATGATTTATTTATATTTATGTGTAATTGTGTTGTCTGGTCTGGTTGACTTCAAAGTTTTAACTATTGATATCAGCTTATGTCACTACAAACAAACAACATTAGATAGATAAGACCGGAGATAAAAAAAATTGAGTGCTTCTCAACATTTTCAATACATAAGTCGTGTAATAATTATAAACAATATAATTTTCAAGACTGCAATAAATTATTTGTCAATCTAAAAAAATAGTTTAAATTAACAAATTTTTTATCCAATAATTACCAATACAAACTCAAGAATTTTTTAAATAATACTATTTTAATTGTCGTATATTCTACCTAGATAATTTATAGTAAATTCAGAACATAAAATTTTGACAGCCCACGATTTTGAGGTTAATTTGTACATTGCGAGATGTTTTAAGCTGCAGAGCACGCGGTGATACGGTTTCTTGTCTAATATCAAAATATTTTGAAAAATATAAATATGAATATAAATATAAATATGATTATAAATATAAATATGAATATAAATATAAATATGAATATAAATATAAATATATAAACATAAAAATAAATACAAGTTTATAAATGTAAATGGTAAATGGTGAAGTTAATGATAAATAGTAAATAGTAAATAGTAAATAGTAAATAGTAAATAGTAAATAGTAAATAGTAAATTATAAATAGTAAATTATAAATAGTAAATAGTAAATTATAAATAGTAAATAGTAAATTATAAATTATAAATAGTAAATAGTAAATTATAAATAGTAAATAGTAAATTATAAATTATAAATAGTAAATAGTAAAATTATAAATAGTAAATAGTATATTATAAATTATCCCCTGCCCCTGTCCCCTGTCCCCTGTCCCCTGTCCTGTCCCCTGTCCCCTGTCCCCTGTCCCCTGTCCCCTGTCCCCCGTCCCGGTCCCCTGTCCCTGTCCCCTGTCCCTGTCCCCCCTGTCCCCTGTCCCTGTCCCCTGTCCCTGTCCCCTGTCCCTGTCCCCCTGTCCCCTGTCCCCCCTGTTCCTGTCTCCTGTACTCCTGTCCCCCCTGTCCCCTGTCCCCTGTCCCCTGCCCCTGTCTCCTGTCCCTTTCTCCTGTCCCTGTCCCCTGTCCCCTGTCCCCTCCCTTCTCCCTCGTCCTGTCCCTGTCCCTTCTCCCTCGTCCCTGTCCCCTGTCCCTTCTCCCTCGTCCCTGTCCCCTGTCCCTTCTCCCTCGTCTTGTCCCCTGTCCCCTGTCCCCTGTCCCCTCCCCCTCTCCCTCGTCCCTGTCCCCTGTCCCCTGTCCCTTCTCCCTCCCTGTCCCCTGTCCCCTGTCCCTTCTCCCTCGTCCCTGTCCCCTGTCCCCTGTCCCTTCTCCCTCGTCCCTGTCCCCTGTCCCCTGTCCCTTCTCCCTCGTCCCTGTCCCCTGTCCCTTCTCCTCGTCCCTGTCCCTGTCCCCTGTCCCTTCTCCCTCGTCCCTGTCCCCTGTCCCCTGTCCCTTCTCCCTCGTCCCTGTCCCCTGTCCCCTGTCCCCTGTCCCTTCTCCCTCGTCCCTGTCCCCTGTCCCCTGTCCCTTCTCCCTCGTCCCTGTCCCCTGTCCCTGTGCCCTGTCCCCTGTCCCCTGTCCCCTGTCCCCTGTCCCTTTCCCTCTCCCTATCTCCCCCTCTCTCCTCGACCCTTGTTTTCTCTCCTCGCCCATCCTTCCCGTTTTTTTCGGAAGTGTAATTTAAAATTTATAAGTTTTATTCCGTGGAACTAAAAATTTTAAAAACTAAAATATGCAACAAGAGTGATTGACAAAATTATAAATAAAATAATAACTAGTAGGTGCATGGCATCATACCTTAAGGCAATTTGCTGGAATTTCCCGTACCTAGAATTAAACTTTTTAAAAAAGCTTTAAAATTTTTTGAGAACTTAAAAAAATTATATTTTTGATTATTTTGAAATTCTTAAAAAAAATACATTTTTGATTTTTTTTATATTTTAATTTTTTTTTCAAGCTATAGAAGCGCGTAAGCGCCGCTTAGCAGATTGTACGTATTAATATTGGTCATTTTTGAATTTGTTGTGCATATGTATAATGATCAAAAATAGCATTTTTATTTGATCTCTAGAACCGCTAGATCTGTCTTCCTAAAAATGTAATCATTTCTTCATTTTGTCAATACAATCGGACGCTGTGTTCTCTCAAAAAGTGAATTACCATTTTTGGTACTCTTTTTTCCCGTATCTTCGAAACGGCTGGACTTGCTTCGCCAATAACTAATCAGCAGGTCTCCTCATCAATAGAAATCGAATTTTTTTAGAATCATTCAAATCGGTTGATTCGTGCTCTCGAAATCGTCGACGGAACAATTGTATCCGCTTTGTTATTTAGTTGAATTTAGTGTAATGGATAGAGATGATACTTGAATACAATTTTTAAGTAATTTGTTTGATTTATTAAATATATTGTTTTTTTTTAGTAAGGTACGATAGTTTTTATATAAACAAACCTCTATAAAAGCGTATATGTAGTTGTTGTAAAAAAGACCAACTAAACTTTTACACACACATAGATGTAGTAAACAATAAGAAAATAGTACATAAAATATAGAACAAGTTCATAAAATCAGCTTTATTATATGTACGGATCAGAAACAGGGACTCTAAGAAAGACCAACAAAACTATGTAGAGAGTTTTACAATGTGGTATTGGCGGCGAATAAAAAAAGATAAAGTGTACAGGTAAGATAACAAATGAAGAAGTCCTAAGAAGAGTAGTTAAAGAAGGAACTCTACTGACCACCGTTCTAAAAAGAAAAGAAATGTCGATCAAAGGTAAAATAGAAAAACTGAAAGGAATGAGAAGAAAAATGCAGATGATTGATAACTTACGCGCGGGGAGGAAATACAGGAAACTGAAAGCTGAAGCACAGGACAGTGAAGCTTAGAAGCAGAAGTTTTGAAATATATATTATATATATATATATATATATATATATATACATGATATGAATATGGATATGAGATGGTGTTTCAACAGGCAATGAACAGTTTAGGGATTCTATCAAAATCTCACTTTTCTGAGTTTAGATCTTTTGTTACAAAATTGATATTAAAAATAGATTTTAATGTTAATTAATATAAATGTGTTGGTTTTATATTGTCAAATGTAAACTTTAATTTAACAGATTAAAGGTTGAAACATTGGTGTGCATGAAACCCCCAAAGAGCAACGCGGTTGGTTAAACATCATTCGACATCAGTGCGCCTAAAGGGTTTGACTAGCAGGGTACGGCTGTACACACAGCACCAGCTATGGGCAACAAGTTTTTTTAAGTTAATTTTTTTTTCAAATGTTTAAGTAGTGATAAAACAATTTACTTTTCCATTAACTCATAACCTTACATCCTTGAAAATTTTTATTATTATGTTATTTTTGAATGGCAATCAGAACTTAAGAGTCTTATAAGCTGTTGTGCATTGTGCTGAATATCTTAAATATAATTTAAAATCAGTTTTTTTAAATTGAATTAATGATTCTGTTTTTAATCAGAATAACTGATTTTTAGTAGAACTTTATTATTCTATTATATATTAGCTATATTATATCATATATTTTTTCTTCATAATTTCGTAAAACTTCATGATTTCTTAACTTAAGTGAAAATTAGTGCTTGTGCAAGGCAAGCGTTAGTAAATTTCATAAAATGAAATGAAAGTACGGAATTTGCATTAGGCAAATTTCTCATTCATAACGTATCGTTTCATATAATCGTACTTTGTTGTTGTAATTTTATCTTCATGTAATTGCAAATATTCAATTTATACCCATACGTTTTGGAAATCTGAGATATTCCGGGACAGATCATCTAAATCCGGGACACAAAGAAAGTCCGGGATCGTCCCGGCCAAACCAGGACTGGTCATCTTATCTCTTTGGTAGGTTTTAAAGTAGAAAGAAAAATAAACAACCGTCGACAGATATTTTTAAGAGTGCAAGGAATGGAGCAAGATTAATATTATTGATAGTTAATTAGTTTATAGTCCAGTCATTTAAGCTTAAATTAGATAAGAATCTCGGATCTCGAGATACCCCACTGTAAGTCTCTACGTACTTGTATATTGACACTTAAAAGTTGTCTCAAAACCTACTTATGGTAGGGTGTACGCCACATATGTAAGTTTTGAGACAACTTTTAGGTGTCAATATACAAGTATTTACATACTTACAGCTGGGTATCTCGAATTCCAAGGTGAACTTACTCAAGGTGAACTTACTATATGACTGGACTATTAGTGGTTGAAGCTATGAGATTTTGATCAGAGATCCCAGGTCTGATACTAGAGCACCATATATCAAAGTCAGTAGTAGTGTAGACTTGGTAATTTATCTTAAAATCATGTGATGGATTTTATGATAACTGTTGCCATCTATGAAAATGACTTTGTTATAATTAAGTCAAATCATAACAACAGCTTACAGAACCCTTATATATGATATATAACAATAATAATATATTTTGTTGCTGTTCAAATAAAACATATAAACAAATTGCGAACAATTATTATTGTTTTTATTGCATTTATACTTTATGTTAGATGAGCATATTTCATACCACAAAGAAATTAATTTAATTAACATGTATTGCTATGGAAAAACAAGTTTGGCAAAAAAAAGATTTCATATAACGAATTTGCTCGCGTAAAGAAATACATACGTTATGCGAAGCACTGCTGTATTTAATATGAATAAAGGTTTTATTTGACAAACAGCAAGCTTTGACAATCTTTAGCGTTTGCAATCAGTGATGTCTACACGGGAATTATGCAGAATTGCGAAATAAGATAAATGCAGCTAAGAAACACAGAAAGTATTTATATCATATCATATCATATATATGAATGGCAATCAGAACTTAAGAGTCTTATAAGCTGTTGTGCATTGTGCTGAATATCTTAAATATAATTTAAAATCAGTTTTTTTAAATTGAATTAATGATTCTGTTTTTAATCAGAATAACTGATTTTTAGTAGAACTTTATTATTCTATTATATATTAGCTATATTATATCATATATTTTTTCTTCATAATTTCGTAAAACTTCATGATTTCTTAACTTAAGTGAAAATTAGTGCTTGTGCAAGGCAAGCGTTAGTAATTTTCATAAAATTGAAAATGAAAGTACGGAATTTGCATTAGGCAAATTTCTCATTCATAACGTATTGTTTCATATAATCGTACTTTGTTGTTGTAATTTTATCTTCATGTAATTGCAAATATTCAATTTATACCCATACGTTTTGGAAATCTGAGATATTCCGGGACAGATCATCTAAA